TAACACATTTTCTCTTATGTTAGACTAGAGAAAATGTTATTCTTGCTGTCACTTGTACAAGTTACCTGGCTATATTAACATTTAATGACTCGGTGATTATTATTATTATTTCTAATATGGCGTCATTTGTGCAAATCGTCTCACTACCACATCTCATATTTATGTTTATTTATTCTACTGTGGGGTGTATTTATCATCTTTATATGTTATGCATCGTATTTATTATGTAATTTTGAAAAAATATCATAGATGGATTAATGAAAATGTGTATATTAACGTAATATACGACATTTAAATGAGACTCGGTGATTATTATTATCATTACTAATATGACGTCTCGAGATATAAGACTTATACTCTTACTGATTTTAATGTGTACCAGCATGCCAGCACAGTAAGTAAGTTTATTTAGGTACAGGTATACATAAGTATAATTATCAGAGTATATATAAAATATGAAATAACATTTAAAAACACTTGAAATTTTGGAGTTTCCAGACATAATGGAGAGACTTAGTGCTTACGGATCTCACAGAGAATATAAACAAACCGGGTGGGGCGCGGTGACCGTATTAGAAAGTCAGGTTGGGGAGCCGTATAGCGAATTTTGGTCATAATTTGAAATGACCATATTAGCGGAATGCCGTAAAGCGAAACGCCGTAAAGTGGGGCCCTACTGTACGTCCAACAAATAAAAATGAAGAATCCAGGAAGACCTCCCAGATTACTCACTGATCCTATAGGCTACAAATCGACAGTACCATAATCGAGGGCACCAAAATCTCTAGTCTGTACTCTCCTGAAGCTTTCCCTTAATAATCAAAATCTATTTTACCCTCATTTGGTTTCAATTTTCTATTTGGCATCCATGTCAGAATATCTAGCAAAGGAGAACTAAACCAGTTTTTGCATTTTCCACATTTAGAACCTGGATGTAGATGTAATGTCTGAGAAATGGTAACAGACAGAACCAAGTACAATATATGGTCACCAATTTGGGTGGGCGATACAATTTTTTTTTTTTTTCAACAAGTCGGCCATCTCCCACCGAGGCAGGGTGACTGAAAAAGAAAATAATTTCATCATCATTCAACACTTTCACCTCACTCATACATAATCACTGTCTTTGCAGAGGCAACCAGATACAACAGTTTAGAAGCATATATAAAGATACATAACATATCCCTCCAAACTCCTGCTCCTTTAACCTTTAAACTGTACAAATGTAGATCTACGTTTTTTCAACATTTGAAAGTATGTAAAAAAACGTATATGTTCTTTTCTTTTTTGTTTTTAAATTTGAAAACGTGTAAAAAAAAACTTTGATCTACTTTTTTTTGTTATATTTGAAAATATGTAAAAAAACGTAATCTACTTTTGGAGTACTACACATGTGAACGTAAATTTGTTTGGACAGTTTAAGGGTTCAAGTGCAGGCATTGTACTTCCCATTTCTACTAGTCAAGTCTGGCTATATAAAAATAACTGGTTTCCCTTAATCCCTTCACTAAATATTGCCCTGCTCATATTCCAACACCTCGTCAGGTCCCAAAAACCATCGTGTCCATTCACACCTATCTAACACACTCACGCCCACAAAACCTCCTTTACCCCCTCCCTCCAACCTTTTCGAGGACGACCCCTATCCCGCCTTCCTTCCCCTACAGATTTATACGCTCTCCATGTCATTCTACTTTGATCCATTCTCTCTAAATGATACAATTATTCTCAAAATTATTCAAATCTATTGGCTCCAGGAACTTGCATGAATAGATTTTTCTGTTGTGGATATTCAAACCAGTAGTTAAAATGGCCACACACAAGATAGCCCTATTCTCTGCAAAGGATTCAGTGGAAAAACCAAATTCATTAACAAAAAATCTATGCCATCAGTGCCAGGATGATACACAACTACAGTGGACCCTCGACCAACGCTGGCATCGTCTAACAATAAAATCGCCTAACGATGCTTTCGCCTTGAACACGTCGGCCTGTCCGTCCAGCCTGAGTGCCTCAGCTGCCCTGCCTTCAGCTAGTGTGCCATTATTTACAAACCAGGGCGGACAGTTCCACGCATATATGCGATACATTTTGTATTATTCCATTGTTTTTAGTGCTTGTAACTGCTAAATAAGTCACCATGGGCCCAAAGAAAGCTTCAAGTGCCAATCCTGTGGTAAAAAGGGTGAGAAATACTATCGTACCAATGTCAGCTGCTGCTGCACCACTGTCAGCTGCTGCTGCACCACCGTCACCTGCTGCTGCACCACCGTCACCTGCTGCTGCACCACCGTCACCTGCTGCTGTACCACGGTCAGCTGCTGCTGCACCACTGTCAGCTGCTGCTGCACCACCACCATCAGCTGCTGCTGCTGCTGTACTATGGTCAGCTGCTGCTGTACCATGATCAGCTGCTGCTGTACCATGGTCAGCTGCTGCACCACCGTCAGCTGCTGCTGCACCACCGTCAGCTGTTGCTGCATCACCGTCAGCTGCTGCTGCACCACCGTCAGCTGCTGGTATAGCACTGTCAGCTGCTGCACCACTGTCAGCTGTTGCTGTGCCACCGTTAGCTGCTGCTGTACCACCGTCAGCTGTTGCTGCACCACCGTCAGCTGCTGCTGCACCACCGTCAGCTGCTGCTGTACCATGGTTAGCTACTACTGGTGCTGCACCACAGTCAGCTGTTGCTGCACCACCATCAACTGCTGCTGCACCACCATCAGCCGCTGCTTTACCACCATCAGCTGCTGCTGCACCATCGTCAGCTATACTACTCGAAGTTGTGGAAAGTGTGTTGTTGGTGTGGCTTAATGAGAAACAATTAACCCCAGAGGGTTAGCCACCCAGGATAACCCAAGAAAGTCAATGCATCATCGAGGACTGTCTAACTTATTTATTTCCATTGGGGTCCTTAATCTTGTCCCCCAGGATGACCCACACCAGTTGCCTAACACCCAGGTGAACAGGAGAAAATGCCTGGAACTAGTGCTCATATTCGTGAATTTAAAGCCAGCAAAGGTTGGTTTGAGAGATTTAAGAATCATAGTGGCATACACAGTGTGACAAGGCGTAGCGAAGCTGAAAAATTCCAACCCCAACAAGTGTTCAATTGTGACGAAACAGGCCTGTTCTGGAAGAAAATGCCGAACAGGACCTACATTACTCAGGAGGAAAAGGCACTCCCAGGACACAAGCCTATGAAAGACAGGCTAACTCTGATGTTTTGTTGTAATGCTAGTGGGGATTGCAAAGTGAAGCCTTTACTCATGCATCACTGAAAATCCCAGTGTTCAAGAAAAACAGTGTCTCATCACACTCTTCAATAAAGGTAAGTGTCATTTTAGCATTTATTTATGTAGTTATTGTGCATGTCTCATTGTTTTCTTCGTAGGAAAAGGTATATTTCATGAAAATTTTTTTTGTTTTTTTAATACTTTTGGCTGTCTGGAACAGATTAATTGGATTTCCATTATTTCTTATGGGAAAAATTAATTCAGCTAATGATAAATTTGGCTAAGGACAAGCTCTCTGGAACGGATTAATATCGTTGGTCGAGGGTCCACTGTATCAGTCTCCCAATTTGCTAATGACTATTGCTGCCACTTTCACCGTCATTTATCTCAAATAAAAAAAGGGGAAGGGGCTGCATACGTTTTTATCATATTTACTTCTCTTTTTGGCACGCAAGTCTTTTCATTATACAGCATTAGCCCTTTTCAAAGCATTTAAGAAAAAATATTGCTTTACCTATATTTCAGTACAATGTACCTATTTAAAGAAATGTTCCCATTCTCAGGTTCTGTACTTGGAAAAGGGGTTCCACAATTCAGGCTAGACAAAAGTGAAAGATAACAGTATATGGTGAGTGTTTCTTCATTATTAGGTCACCAAATATAAAGCAGAATGATTGAGTATTGTTGACATACAATACAGTATTTTTAAAAATTCATAAAATCATTTGATTCATAAGCTGCCATAGTGGAGTTACAATTCTTCAAAACAAATACAGCAAATAATACAATCCCAGAAAAGTACAATATACAGTAGAAGTATGCCAAAGAATCAGCATTGATGGGTTTACCGGGAGAGGATTTCAGGGGTCAATGCCCCCGCGGCCCGGTCTGAGACCAGGCCTCATGGTAGATCAGGGTCTGATCAACTAGTCTGTTACTGCTGGCTGCACGCAAGCTGACGTACGAACCACAGCCCAGTTGGTCAGGTGTACTGACTTTAGGTACCTGTCCAGTACCCTCTTGAAGACATCCAGGGGTCTATTGGTAATCTCCCTTATGTATGTTGGGAGGCAACTGAACAGTCATGGGCCCTGGACACTTATTGTGTTGTCTCTCAGTGTACTTGTGGCACCCCTGCTTTTCATCGGGGGAATGCTGCATCTCCTGCCGAGTCTTTTGCTTTCATAGGGAGTGATTTTCGTGTGCAGGTTTGGTACTAATCCCTCCAGGACCTTCCAGATGTATATTATCATGTATCTCTCTTGCCTATGTTCGAGGGAATACAGATCAAAGACCTTCAACCATTCCCAGTGAGTATTGGTATTGGAAAAAAAAAAAATTAACTGAATAAATATCTTCCCATCCCTATTTTATACAGTTCACTTACAATTATTGAAACAGTTTCTTTGATATTAAGCATATCATTTCAGCTAGGATTAAATGCATCATAACAGTCATAAACATTGAAGCTAAATCTTTTGAATGCTACTGAATGTAGCATTATAGTTTACCTGACATTAAAATCAGATTACTACATATACCCAGCATCAAATTTGTTTAATGTTGCCACCAGAGCTATACTATGCTATAAAAAATCTACAATACAGTACACAAATACATATATAAGAGCAACAGTAAATATCCTCAGGCATTCATCAATTACTATACAAATATAGTAAGGTTCTAAATAACATGAAAAAACATAGGTTACATAAACTCGATTATAAGGATAGGTCGGTAAAAATCTTGAAATTTAACCAATACCTTGATAAATATTTTTGTGTCTTCTGTGGTCTATCCACAATCTCATGTGTAATTGATTCATCTGTCACAGGGTACGTACTTCCTTCAGCAGTACTTTCATCCCAGGAAACCTGCCAAAAAGGAAGTGGTCTATTATTTAACATTACTATTCAATTATGTGTCATTTCAAGGAGACTCACAGAAGCATGATGTAGAATGCTAGTGCACAAAATTGCAGTGTAAATATTTAGCACATCCTCTTTTTTTTTTTCTTTTAATGCGTCAGTCATTTCCCACCATGGAAATATGACCCAGAGAAAGGGGAACACTTTCACCATCATTCACACTATGACTGTCTTGCCAGAGACGTGCAGATACAACAGTTTAGATGTCACTCTAAACAGCAAATATCCCAAACCACTCCTTTGAAGTGTAGGGACTGTACTTCCCACGTCCAGGACTCAAGTCCAGCCAACCTGTTCCTCTGAATCCCTTCACAAAATGTTGCCCTGCTCACACTCTCAACAGCTCATCAAGTCCCAGAAACCATTCGTCTCTACTCACTCCACTTTTTATTTTTAACAAGTCAGCCATCTCCCACCGAGGCAAGGTGACCCAAAAAGAAAAACCTTTCATCATCATTCAACACTTTCACCATCACTCATACATAATCACTGTCTTTGCAGAGGCACTCAGATACGACAGTTTAGATGTCCCTCCAAACTGCCAATATCCCATACCCTTCCTTTTAAGTGCAGGCACTGTACTTCCCATTTCCAGGATTCAAGCTGGCTAACCTGGAGTAAGCAGCACAGCAAGAAACTCCTTCCTGATAAAGCATGTGCAAAAGGTTCAAAGGTTTGCACAAAGACTTATCCTGGAGCTCAGATTAATGTAATACCTAGAAAAATTCCATGAACTGACCCTGTTGACCCTAGAAGAAAGGAGAATAGGGGGAAAGAACTTGATAACCAAATCCTGGAGTAAACTGGCTGGAAAAACAAAGACAAACTGTTCAAAGGGAACCAGGAATTGAGGAACAAAGATGGAAGCAAAACACACAGATTATCCACAGGGACATCTCAAAATATTTCTTTAGTAGTCTCAGGCTGATTCAAATTTGATTGAATAGGATGAGGTGGTGGGGAAGATTTTAAGGGTAGGTACGATAAGAGCTTCAGGCAGATCGAGTCCAGTAGGTGCCAGCTATGCCAACCATAATGGTGGAGTCAGCAGCAGTATCTCAACACCCTCAAAACACAGCAATCTTGCTAGAGTACAAAATATATAAAAAGATTCCAATTCACACTCATATGGCAGGACAATAGCACTGTACCTCCAAGGGTGGTTACTGATAATCAACCTACTACCCAGTCACAGAATAAATTTGGGCTGGTAACGATAGTAATAATTAACATACTTGTCCCTGGCATGCTCTGATGACAAAAGTAAGAGACTCCAGGTTTGTTTCACGATTTAAGAAGAACTTCAGACCCTTGAACAGACACTGCTGCTTTTTCTTCTTTAATGCCTCCTCTCTTGCTGCCTGCAGCTGATCTGTATCCTCATCCTGCAATAAGTTATTTAATTTACAATTAATTCCTTTTGCCAAATCCCTTGACACACTTGTAACCTACTGCCTACTGGATAGGTATATCTGCATTTGTTAGGTAAAAGGACACAAGTGCAACTAACACGACATTTTATTGTGGCAACATTTCGCTCTCAATATAGGGACACAGAAGGTACATAAAGGTATAGAGAGGGGTGCAAAGCATAATATAATCATACTACTACTACTACCTACAATGATTATATTATGCTTTGCATCTCACTCTGTACCTATATATACCCTCTGTGTCTCTGTATTGTTTGTAACAGCTTGAGAAAGCTCCTGGAGAGTGAAACATTGCCACAATAAAGTGACACATTAGCTGTACCTGTGTCCTTTTACCTAACATATTGTTGGTAATTTTACCAACAATCTGTATTTGTAATTAGTGTATTCATTGCATTCTTGAAGCTTTGAAGAAATTACCAAAAACATTACCATTACAGTGGTCCCCCTGCTTTTCGTAGTTCCTGGCAATCGTAAATTTCGCCAATCATAGGGGTATTTTCGTATGAACATGGACTCGCTTTTCATAGGTTGACTCGCGAGTCATATCATCCGGGACGTGTACCCATGGCGTGAGCCGGGGCGGCAGCCAGTCTGGCATTGTTTACCAGTGAGCGAAGGTCCCCTCACGTGCTCCAGCGAAATATTTCATAATATTCCACATATTTTAGTGCTTGCAAGTACTAAATAAGTTACCATGGCTCCAAAGAAAGCTCCTAGTGCCAAGTCTGTGGTAAAGAAGGTGAGAAATACGATTGAATTTAAGAAAACCATCATTGAACAATATGAAAGTGGTACAAGTATGGCCGAACTGTCCAGGATGTATAAGAAACCCTACACAACCTTATGTTCCATAGTGGCCAAGAAAAAGGAAATCAAGGATGCTGTTGTTGCAAAGGGGGTAAATATGCTGACAAAAATGAGATCACCAGTACTCGAAGAGGTTGAGAAGTTATTATTGGTGTGGATAAATGAGAAACAATTAGCAGGAGATACTCTTATGACTTCGATTATTTGTGAAAAGGCTAGGCAGTTGCATGAAGATTTGGTAAAGAAATTGCCTGCAAATAGTGGTGATGTGGGTGAATTTAAGGCCAGCAAAGGCTGGTTTGATAGATTTAAGAACCGTACTGGCATACACAGTGTGGTAAGGCATGGTGAGGCTGCCAGTTCGCACCACAGGGCGGCTGAAAAATATGTGCATGAATTCCAGGAGTACATAGAGGCTGAAGGACTGAAACCTGAACAAGTGTTCAATTGCGATGAAACAGGCCTCTTTTGGAAGAAAATGCCAAAGAGGACCTTCATTACACAAGAGGAAAAGGCAATGCCAGGACACAAGCCTATGAAAGACAGGCTGACGCTAATGTTCTGTGCTAATGCTAGTGGGGATTTCAAAGTGAAGCCATTACTAGTGTACCATTCTGAAAATCCCAGAGTGTTCAGGAAAAACAATGTTATGAAGAGTAAATTGTGTGTGTTTTGGAAATCTAATAGTAAGGCATGGGTCACGAGGGAAATTTTCGTTGGTTGAGTGGTTCAATGAAGTGTTTGGCCCTAGTGTGAAGGAGTATCTCCTGGAAAAAAAATTGGATCTCAAGTGCCTGTTAATAATGGACAATGCACCTGCTCATCCTCCAAACTTGGATGACCTAATTTTCAAGGAGTTTCGGTTCATCACAGTAAAGTTCTTGCCCCCGAATACCACTCCTCTCCTCCAGCCCATGGACCAGCAGGTCATTGCAAACTTTAAAAAACTCTACACAAAAGCAATGTGCCACAGGTGCTTGACTGTGACCACAGACACTCACTTGACCCTAAGGGAATTTTGGAGAGAACACTTCAGCATCCTCCACTGCATAACCCTTATAGGTATGGTTTTTGGAGGGAGTGACTACCAGGATTTTTGAACTCTGCCTGGAGAAAATTTGTGGCCAGATTGTGTTGACAAGGGGATTTTGAAGGGTTTGGGACTGACCCTAAGAGCCTATGTCTGTTGTAAAATCAATTGTGGCACGGGGAGTTCAAGGGGGTTGGATATGAGTTTGGAGGATGTGGAAGAATTGGTGGAAGACCACAACGAAGAGCCACCACTGAGGAGCTGCAAGAGCTTCAGCAGGAAGAGCAAACACATCGCAGCTCAGAATCCTTGCTGCAGAGGAGGAGGGGAGGAGGAGGAAAAGAGATGAAGAAGGGGCTTTCTTCAGAAATTAAAGAGGGTTTTTACTATGTGGGGTAAGATGGAAAGCTTTATGGAGAAACATCACCCTAACAAGGTTGTTGCAACCAGGTTGGCAACATGTACAGTGACAAAGTCTTGGGCCATTTTAGGAAAGTGTTAAAGAGATGCCAGAAACAGAGCTCTCTCCACAGTTATTTTGTGAGACAGGACTCCAGTGACTCTCAAGGTGGTCCTAGTGGCATTAAGAAACAGAGAAGACAAGTAACCCCAGAAAAACAATTGGTACCTGAGGTGTTGCTGGAAGGGGATTCCCCTTCCAAACTATAAACAATCCCCTCTCTCTCCTCCTCCAGTCTCCCATACACTAAGAAAAATCTCCAATAAAGGTAAGTGTTATGCTGTTAATGTTTCATTCATCATTTCCCATTGTATTGTTTATGTACAAAAATTATGTGTGCAAAAATTATAGGGGGATAAGTCTGTTGAGTATACCTGGTAAAGTGTATGGTAGAGTTATTATTGAAAGAATTAAAAGTAAGACGGAGAATAGGATAGCAGATGAACAAGGAGGCTTTAGGAAAGGTAGGGGGTGTGTGGACCAGGTGTTTACAGTGAAACATAAGTGAACAGTATTTAGATAAGGCTAAAGAGGTCTTTGTGGCATTTAGGGATTTGGAAAAGGCGTATGACAGGGTGGATAGGGGGGCAATGTGGCAGATGTTGCAGGTGTATGGTGTAGGAGGTAGGTTACTGAAAGCAGTGAAGAGTTTTTACGAGGATAGTGAGGCTCAAGTTAGAGTACATAGGAAAGAGGGAAATTATTTCCCAGTAAAAGTAGGCCTTAGACAAGGATGTGTGATGTCACCGTGGTTGTTTAATATATTTATAGATGGGGTTGTAAGAGAAGTAAATGCGAGGGTCTTGGCAAGAGGCGTGGAGTTAAAAGATAGAGAATCACACATAAAGTGGGAGTTGTCACAGTTGCTCTTTGCTGATGACACTGTGCTCTTGGGAGATTCTGAAGAGAAGTTGCAGAGATTGGTGGATGAATTTGGTAGGGTGTGCAAAAGAAGAAAATTAAAAGTGAATACAGGAAAGAGTAAGGTTATGAGGATAACAAAAATATTAGGTGATGAAAGATTGGATATCAGATTGGAGGGAGAGAGTATGGAGGAGGTGAATGTATTCAGATATCTGGGAGTGGACGTGTCAGCGGATGGGTCTATGAAGGATGAGGTGAATCATAGAATTGATGAGGGGAAAAGGGTGAGTGGTGCACTTAGGAGTCTGTGGAGACAAAGAACTTTGTCCTTGGAGGCAAAGAGGGGAATGTATGAGAGTATAGTTTTACCAACACTCTTATATGGGTGTGAAGCATGGGTGATGAATGTTGCAGCGAGGAGAAGGCTGGAGGCAGTGGAGATGTCATGTCTGAGGGCAATGTGTGGTGTGAATATAATGCAGAGAATTCATAGTTTGGAAGTTAGGAGGAGGTGCGGGATTACCAAAACTGTTGTCCAGAGGGCTGAGGAAGGGTTGTTGAGGTGGTTCAGACATGTAGAGAGAATGGAGCGAAACAGAATGACTACAAGAGTGTATCAGTCTGTAGTGGAAGGAAGGCGGGGTAGGGGTTGGCCTAGGAAAGGTTGGAGGGAGGGGTAAAGGAGGTTTGTGTGCGAGGGGCTTGGACTTCCAGCAGGCGTGCGTGAGCGTGTTTGATAGGAGTGAATGGAGACGAATGGTTTTTAATATTGACATGCTGTTGGAGTGTGAGCAAAGTAACATTTATGAAGGGGTTCAGGGAAACCGGCAGGCCGGACTTGAGTCCTGAAGATGGGAAGTACAGTGCCTGCACTCTGAAGGAGGGGTGTTAATGTTGCAGTTTAAAAACTGTAGTGTGAAGCACCCTTCTGGCAAGACAGTGATGGAGTGAATGATGGTGAAAGTTTTTTTTTTTCGGGCCACCCTGCCTTGGTGGGAATCAGCCAGTGTGATAATAAAAAAAAAATAATAAAATGTATATTTCATGTAAAAATTTTTTTTTGTTTTAATACTTCTGGGTGTCAGGAACGGATTAATTGTATTTACATTATTTCTTATGGGGAAAATTGATTCGTAAATCGTAAATTTCGTTTATAGTAACGGCTCCAGGAACGGATTAATTACGAAAAACGAGGGACCACTGTACTTTCCACTACAAATTCTATAACTGAAAACCTTAATCTTGTAATAAACTCATCACAGCCATAGCTTGCTTACTTAACCAGATCCTTGAGATCAAACCCCCTTTACTAATTAAATAATATAGTGGTCCCTGGATAATCGTTGGGCTCGATAGTCATCCTTTTCGGAAATCGTCGCGTTATTTTCGTCCAAACATTGGCTCGCAAATGGTCAGTTGACTCGCTAATCGTCGTTCGTCCTGGACTCGTACTCATGGCTCTGAGCCGCCTCGGCCTCCCTTCCCAGCCAGTGTGCCATTGTTTACCAGTGAGCGACGGTCCCCTCGCTTGTTCATATGAAATATTTCATAATATTCGATTCATTTTAGTGCTTGCAAGTGCTAAATAAGCTAACATGCTCCAAAGAAAGCTCCTAGTGCCAAGCCTTTGGTAAAGAAGGTGAGAAATATGACTGAATTTAAGAAAAACATCATTGAGCAATATGAAAGTGGTGTACATGTGGCCGAACTGGTCAGGATGTATAACAAACCCCATACAACCATATCTTCCATTGTGGCAAAGAAAAAGGAAATCAAGGAAGCTGTTGTTGCTTGGAGAAAATTGTGGCCAGATTGTGTCCACAAGAGGGATTTTGAAGGGTTTGTGGTTGACCCTGATGAACCTATGTCAATTGTGAAATCTATTGTGGCATTGGGGAGTTCCATGGGGTTGGATGTGAGTTTGGAGGATGTGGAAGAGTTGGTGGAGGACCACAACGAAGAGCTAACCACTGAGGAGCTGCAAGAGCTTCAACAGGAAGAGCAACAGATTGCAGCTCAGAATCTTGCTGCAGAGGAGGAAGAAGAGAGATGGAAGAAGGTGCCTTCTTCAGAAATTAAGAAGATTTTTGAAATGTGGGGTAGGATGGAAGGATTTATGGAGAAACATCACCCTGAGAAGGATGTTGCAAGCCATATCGGCAACTTGTACAGTGACAGAGTCTTGGCCCATTTTAGGGAAGTTTTAAAGAGATGCTAGAAACAGAGCTCTCTGGACACTTTTCTTGCTAAACAGGACTCCACTGACTCTAAAGCTGGTCCTAGTGGCATTAAGAAACAGAGAAGTATGTAACCCCAGAAAAGGACTTGGTACCTGAGGTGTTGATGGAAGGGGATTTCCCTTCCAAACAGTAACTAATCCAATCTCTCTCCTCCTCCAGTCTTCCATACACTAAGAAGAATCGCCAATAAAGGTAAGTGTTATGCTGTTAATGTTTCATTCATCATGTCCCATTGTATTGTTTATGTACTACATCTATATTTCATGTAAAATTTTTTTTTTGTTTTAATACTTCTGGGTGTCAGGAATGAATTAATTGTATTTACATTATTTCTTATGGGGAAAATTGATTCGAAAATCGTCTATTTCGATAATCGTTGCACTTCTAGTAACGGATTAACGACGATAAACGAGGGACCACTGTAATTACAATCTTTTGACTAATACTCATATTATTATATGCATATAAAATTGCTAATACCCACAGGATGAGTATATATATAGGGTGCATAATAAAGTTATCAAATCAATAACAGACATGGCACACACCTAAACAACATAAAGTGCAAATGTAAGAAAAACGTGACAAGAAAATGCAGACTGAGATGGAATAAATATGTTGACCATTCAAGAATTATAGGTTCCAATACAAGATTAATAGAATGCAGCTGATGATAGTAAAGCTTAAACTGAGACCTACTAAAGATGTCATCAAAAATAATACAAGAATGGTGTTGATTGAAAAGTGTGCAAAATATTACCCTAACTACAATAAAAAAAAAATAGGTACAATATAATAAAAGGCAACACAAGGTAAGAAAGTGACAAAAGATGCTCTGTATTTAAAACTTACCAAAAGGTGAGTGTCAATGCCATCCTCTTCATCATCATCATCTACCTTGTTTCTCAGCAGTGGTGCATTTAATGATGCTACATGTTCTGATATGATTTCATTCCTGTTTTTCTTCCCTTTACCTAAAATGCAATATATTTTTAAATGAAATAAACCATTAAAGTACACTGCTGTATTTTTATATGTATATTCATCTTAATTGTGAAGTTAGCACACTTCTGGCAAGATGGCATTTGCATGAATTATGGTAAATGAATTTCCTTGTTTGGTTCACTCTGCCTTGGTGGAAGACAACCAATGAGGTAATCTCTGTTACCACTTATACATAATTAAACTAAATAGATGGCATTGTATGCCATACACTGCCGAGGATGAGGCTGTTAATCTCCTATGAGCAAGTTGGAATCGTAGTAGCCAGATTAACTTGAGAGTAGTATAGTAGTAGATAGGGGTAGGATCGCAAGATCAAGCGAGGCAATGGCGCGAGGGAAGAGGAAGGGTCGGGACCGCAAGGCGGCAGGTCCGAGCGGGATATAGTAAAACGGAAAGCCTGTAGATGGTACTTTTTTTATTCAAGGATTGGTAGGGATTGGGCTGGATGTCTTTTTGTCTTATCGAGCATGGAAAGTATGCAAGTATGACATAGGAAGTGGTCCTGGCGAACGTGTGTTAGCGGGTGTGACCGAGGGTGGCATGGAGAGGTCAGCACTACACAGGTACAATTACATATTTGTGTGGGTTAATAGCAGTCGAGATCATCTGAAATTTCTTTGATTTTACGTTGGAGTACGAATAGTTATCAGAGGGTCCTTATGTAACGGTTGTTTACCTTTTATATCATGGGAAGTGGAATAAGAAGTCTATTCCTCCGTAAACCATGCGTGTTTTAAAGTGCGAAGCTAAGAATGCCTATGGAAACAGTTGTGCTAGAGGTCTCGACGGACGCCGAGTTATCCTGTGCTAAGATGTTACGCTAGAGGAGACTGAGCGTACGTCAGAGCGGAAGTGTTGACAAAGTGGGAAACCTGTGAGTAAATGTTCGGTAATGTATGTGCATAGATCGTACTTAAAGATACTGTAAGATTGTATGGTGAAATATGTAGCATTGTAAAGAGAAGTACAAGTCGTGGTGTATAGAGGAGTCCAGGTCTTTATGATGAGTGTCTAAGCATAGAGCAGACTGTGGGGTATTTTGGAGGGAGGAGTAGAGTATCCTTAGAGGTAAGAGAATGTATATTAAATATTTGGGGAATTATGGTCTGGGGGGCGTCCATAATATCTGACACTTAGACGTTGGATTAGGTAATAGCTAATAATGCTGAAGATAATCTATGCTAGGGGCAAAGAGTGGTGGCTTAGGTAAAAGTGGTATGAGAGAAGATGGCAAGGATTATGTGGAGTAAAATAAAGATTGGATGTGAAAAGTGGTTATAATAAGCTGAATGCACCTGGTAGAAGGAGGAGGAAGAGAGAGACGAAGTATGCGTTGAGAGATTTATCTTTGAAATGATTGAGTGAATTGGAGTTGAGTGGCATGTGTGTAATCAAGTGGAGGGATATATAGCGTGGGAGGGTATGGTAGTAGGTTCAATAGGACGTGTACTAGATGTGGGAGAACAATTTGGAGCGAGTGAGGGAGAAGAGTAGTGAGCCGCGTGAGTGTGTTGCCAGGTGTAAATGTAAGCAGAGTTGGGAGTGCCTGTATTAATTAGCATGAATAGGAGTGTAGAAAGAGATTTGGTAATAATTAAGACAGCATATTTATAGTGAGAGAAAGAGATAAGCTAAATATATGCCAGGTATATGGTGAGCATCGTAATGCAAATATGTAGTGTTATATATGATGGTAAAGTTGTTGTAAGGAAGAAGGTAGAGATATGGTAAGCGCTCGGCAGTATGGTACATGATTATAGAGGTCAGACTGTAAGTATTCGTGATCGAGTCGTAACATTTAAGGTTGACGGCATACAGCAGATAAAAGGTATGAGGTGGGAAAATGAGTGAAGTGGCTAACAACAATTAAGAGGGAGAGGTGAAAGTGATATATAACTGCGGGGTAGAGAAGTCTTCGGGTGAGATAACAGCGACTATTGGCAGAAAGGTGGGAGAGAAAAGATGTGTGGTATAGTGGGGTGGGGGGGCTGAAGAGGGTGGAAAAGTTTCTAAAAATGCAGTATTAGAATTTGTGGGGCAGAATTTGTGTTATAGGAGTGGGGCAGGAGGAACTAGGAGTGATTAGGTTAATGAATCATAGTAAAGGGAGTTATAAAAAGAGAAAAAAGGTTAGTCTTATGAGAGGTTTACGCACAAAGACAGAAGGTTATAAGTAAATCAGAGTAATGGAGAGTAAAGAAAGGTGAAGAGTGTGGTGAAAAGTGCAAAAGGAAGCAGATGATAGAGTGGGAGAGGGCGACTGTCAAGAAATTTTAATGAAAATAAGAAAAAAAATTGAGTTAAACAAGTTAAGAAAGCCTAGGGAAAGTATGATTTGTCAGTAAAAACAGAATAGAGGGGAGGTAGGAAATGTGTGAGATTGAGGGAGGGTATTAGTAAGAATAGTGGCGAGAAGATATTTTTATGAGAGTAAGTGCTATCTGTTGAAATTATTAGAAGAAAGAGATGCGGTAATGTTCTTGTGCACTGGTCAGGGAGTATACCATCTTTTTAGAGGAAGGAAGAAGCAAATGTAATTGGCGTAGTGTGGTCAAAACGAGAGCATATAACGTATAAGAAAGGGGTAAAGCAGCAAGAACTGATTTGGATCATGACAGAAAATGTAAAAGCAGGGGGATATAGGGGAAATCTGTTTGAGTGGTTTTACTTTTCTTTGAATAGGATGATGAAAGAGGAATGAACTAAGGATTGGCAGTAGAGCATGTATAGACCCTTTAAATATAAGGGAAAGGGTACAAACGCGATTGAAAAAATTATAGAGGCCAAAGTTAACTGAGTATACCAGGAAGAAGTATACAGGGAAGCGATATAATTGAAAGAATTAGAGGTAAGACCAGAATGTAGAATTGCGGATGAGTCAGGAGGACTTCAGAGTGTGTAGGGTATGTGTAATGCTTCAAAAGATTAACATAGAAGCATAAATGGTGAACAAAAAATTAGATAAAGGAAGGGAATTTTATTGACATTTAATGATTACGAAAAGGCAATATGTTAGAGTGATAGATGGAGCAATGATGGTAGATTGTATTGCAATTTTCTGGAATAGGTGGTAAGTTACTAATGCAGTAAAGAGCTTTTAAGAGGATAGTGAAGTCAGGTTAGAGGTGTGTAGAAGAGAGGGAGAATACTTCCCGTTAAGAAGAGTCTTAGACAGATGTGTACTGGTCACCAAGTTGTTAATAATATATATATAGATGGGGTATGATAAAGAAGAACCTGCAGTAGTTTCGTGAGAGGAGTGGGCGTTAAATATATGGGAACTTTCACATTTCAAATAGTGGCAATTGTACACAGTTACATATTTTGTCTGAATTGATGACTGTGCTAATAAGAGAGAAAACTAAAGACAATGCAAATGATATGTGATGAGTTTTGACGAATGTGTGTAAAGGAAGAAATTGGAAATGTGAACAAGAAAAGAGTAAGGTGAATGCTGTATCAATGATTTTAGATAAAGAAGTAATTGGATATCAAAATTGGAGAGGAGAGTATGGACGAATGAATGTTTCAGAAACTTGAGTATGTGACTTGTTCTGCGGAAGAAATCTGAAGGGAAGAGGTTAGATCCTAGAATTGGCTGAGGAACAAAGGTTAGTGTGGCTTTGAGAATAAGTTGAGGTCAAAAACTATCTATTGAGGCAAAGAAGGGAATGTGGTATGAAGTATAGTGAGTACCAACACACATATTAATGATTTGAAGTCTTATGGGTGGTAAATGCAGCAGCGAGGAGACGGTTAGAGGCAGTGTAGATGTCCTTCCTAAGGGCAATGTGTGTGTAAAATATAGCAGAAATTCGGAGTTGTGGACATTAGAGAAAGGTGTGAGTTTAATAAAAGCATTAGTCAGAGCAGAAGGATGTGGTTGTAGGTTGTTTTGGGTCATAAAGAGAGAATGGATCAAAGATAGAATGACAGGAGGGGGGGGAGAGGTGGAAAGCATAATAAATTCTATAGGGAATGATAGAGGGAAGGGTCGTTCGCTCGAAAGGTTGGAATAGAGGGGTAAGGAGGTTTTGTGGGCGAGTGCATGACATTATCCAAGCAAGCGTGCATGAGCGTGTAAGATATATAGAATGGAGAGTACGAATGATACTAGGTACCTGACTAACAGATGAGATAGTGAGCGGGTAATATTTAGAGAAGGGATTCCGGGAAACCGGATAAATTCTATAATCGACATGATTCCCAGAAATTGGAAGTAAATGCCTTCACTTTAAGGAGGGTTTTGGATAATGCATTTGGAGGGATTATGTGTATCTTATACGTATATGCTCCTAAACTGTTGAAATCTGAGGCATCCTCTGCAAAAAGAAGCATTGGATAATGAGTGAGTGTGGTGAAAGGTGTTGAATTGATGATGATAAAGTATTTTCTATTAGGGGATTTTCTTTCTTTATTATGGGTCACCCTTGCCTCGGTGGAGACGAGCCAACAATGTTGGGAGAAAAAAAAAAAAATAAATAATAACATTACACTTTACCTTCTGAGACTTCTGGGTGGATGGAAGATGGAGAGGTGATAGGAGGAAGGTGTACACTATTGTTTGAAGGAGAATCTACCTTCCATTAGGAACTTAGTATAAAGATCCTATCTGGGGTTACATCCGCATCTTCTTTGATAATGCCACTGGAAACAACTTGAGAGTCACTGCCCCCTGGCTCACAGAATATCTATCCATAGAGGTCTTTTTTCCTGGGCGTTCTTTAAGAGATTTCCCCTGAAGAGGACACAACACTTCATTCGTACATGTTTGCAGATACGCTCTGTTTCAGTTGGTCATTGCAACTTTTCAAACAAAACTTTGCAACTACATTTGCCACATAACCACCGATGTCCTTAACCCTTTTCAGGGTCCAAGCCAAAATCTTGAAGTGACGCACCAGGTCCAAGAAATTTTTGAAAAAAAAAAAAAAACAAAAAGAAATTATTTTTTCTTACAGAATTAAAGAGCAAAATTTTGTGTGGATATTGCAGTTGGAGGATATGTGTGTAATCATAATAGCGAATATGCTTCTAAACTGTGGTATTCTGAGCACCTCTGCAAAACAGTTTATAATGTGGTGAGTGTGGTGAAAGTGTTGAATGATGATGAAACATATTTTCTTTTGGGATTTTCTTTCTTTTTTGGGTCACCCTGCCTCGTGGGAGACGAACCATTATTGAAAAAAAAAAAAAAAAAAACTAAATTAGAATCTGATCAGTACATACCGATGATACATGCCAAGAAGTATTTATAGAAAATGATGTGGTGGTGGCAACATCGAACAATTCCACATAAGCGTATTATATTATTTTGTTGTTTTAAGTTGTTTTCTTTCTTTTCCAATTTTTTCCTATTCCACGAACATTTGGGCCTGAGAGTGACCGAATACATGTATATACTTTATATATATAAACGCACTGGTATTGAACACAATAACCGCACGTAAAGGTTATTTATCAATATTGTCATTGTTACCACTGGCGGGGTTGTTTATTACAATAATCAGCACAACTATTGTATAAAACTAATAGTATGCTATCATATATTTATGCATATTAACAATCACTGGACATGGGGGGTAATAGGAAGCTGCATGGAGCTTGGTGAACTACCTTGAAAACAAGGCACCGGGAGATGTGCCGACAGTGAGGCACGTTACCTTCCTCGAGGCACATAAAACCGATGAGTCTTTGATTCTTTGTTGCCGTCGTTTTTTTGTGGCACAGACATGCATCTCTTCTGAGCAAATTCTTTTGAGTTGAAGGAAGGCTGTATTATGAAATGATCACCTTCTCTCTCAAACACTTGGTATAACCAGGATGAACTCGATGAACGGCAGGTTATGTATATGGAAGGCGCGTGAGTGTGTTGTTACCCTGGTACTTCATTATTAGTGTCTGACAACAGACAAACGGCAAGGAATTGCACCACGTACCGTGGTGGCCTGTTAATGGCTGACAGATCTTATATTAGTGTACAAATTATATGGCATTGAGCATTGAAATGTCCATGAGATGGAAGAAAGTTTCATGTCGCCACTTTGTAACTCTTAACGAACACAAGTCAACAAAACCAATCGCATGTCACACTTGTCAACCAAAGTGCATGTTTTGTGTGATAATCATCACCTGGACACCCTGGGTTTTCGAATACGTCATTAAGTCACTCTATCAACTTTGGCCAATGTGTCTTGCATTTCCTTACGGTGAATGTTGTCAATCAATGTGAACAACTCGTTTGTCATGCCAGCCGTAATGCCATGAGTGTCATGAGGTGATGGTGCTATAGCAGACAGCATGTGGCAGTACGGTCAGACGACGCCACGAACACCTATGCGATTTGTCTGGAGAGGCCAGGGGTGTTGCTCAGATATGTTTACTCGGCGTGAAGTGGAGTAGGAACACAGCGGTACACTGTGGCACAGCACGAACGTTTCCTGTTCAGCATCGCATGAGAATCACTGATTAATGGCTTGTGTCCAGTTATATCGTATATAAGTGTATGCCCCTTACCAAGGATAAGGTGCCATCATGTTTCTCACTAGCGTCACCTGAGATACCCAATAGACGAACTTGGTATCTTTCAATGTTTACTAACCCGAGTATACAACAAGTAACCAACACCATGCCACAGTCCCAATCAAAGAGTACTAACAGTATTATACCAAAGCGGTTCTCTTGCTCGTAATACAGGCATGAATGACAGTCTACCTTTGAACAAAAATCAAAGACATCGCAATTACAAGATTCTTGAATGGATAAAAGTATATCCTGGAACTTTTGTTTGAGATACATGAAAACATTTCTAATCTTGTATAACCTGTCCACATCTGTCAGGCCAGGTTTGTCAAGATATGCAACATACTAACAGTGAGAGATAAACGCAGGGTGTCACGTGTTGGTAATTGAATTGCAAGAGTGCGCGACCTGGGGTTGAGGGAAATTAGCCGATCTGAGGACCATTATGGCGAGGATTTATATTATGCTTACGAGATGTGAGGCATAAGCATTATTGTTGCAAAAAGCAAATACATTCGCAACAGTACCGTCCTCTTTCCACCTGTGTAGTCTTGGACTGTGGTGAAAGATCGTATTTTGCCATGGTGTTACGAAAATACTTACATCCTACCAAAGCTAACAGGGATACTAAGTTCAAATAATATTAGGTGCGGGGGGAAGCACGTATATTCACGATTAAGCTATATATCGCAAATATAAGCAGTAAAAAATTATATGAAAAGGTAATATACATATATTCATAATCATAATATACATTATATATATTGCAACCCATTCAGTGGTTGCAACACTGAGCATTAATGTAGAATGGTATAAATAATATGCAGTGTACACGTGAAAGACAAGTAGACTCACGCAAGTTGCCGTGTATTGGTTGCTTGCATGATTTGTTTAATTTGAACTTTGGTAAAATTGAACATTTCTGCTACTTGAGCTCAATTTTCTATGGTACTTTTATTGTGAAACCATCAAAATAATATTCAATTTTTGTAATATACTTCCATTCTATAAAATGAGACCGGAACATAGGAATACAGACCATAAATACCATAAACGAAAATACATTGCAAAGTCACTGTTTTAATCCAAAAAGCACGATCAAAGTTTTTTTTTTTTCGCATTATGCTACTGTTGCTGCAGATTTTTTTTATACTGTGCACACTGACCACATAGACTCCATTCTTTCATATGTAGGTTTTCCCACATTAGAATTGACGGCGCTAGAATTTGAGGCGTACTAGTATGTCAATAACCCTAGTGCGTATGCCGTACTAGTACTTCGAAAAACCTGGGAAGGGTTAACTCTCAGTAAACGTTAAAACTTACTAGACTGCGGCAAATGACAAGAGTGTGATTGTTTTATGCATGTTCTGTGTTAAAAGAGGCTGAGAATCCGGCGCTGCGTCGACTGCCCGGGGGTTGCGGGTGAAGGTGAAGCTCGTTTCCCAATGTGTGAGCTGTCAGAGCTAGACGATGGTAGGCGTCGAGGCTGGGAGCCAGTCACGGCGCTACGCTAAATGAAGGTAATTCAGCAATGTGTCATGCGTGATTGAGCGCTGCTATTATGTGTGTATTAGCGGATAGTAAAGAACACGAAGCAGGGTCACAATGAAACGGATAGTATAAAGCGATACCAAGAAGAGTGTGATTAAGGGCTGTTGTGAGGGAGAAGAGTGTAAAGTGAGGCATGGTAAAACATTATTTAAAGAGTGGTTGACACAAGCCTACCACCATAACGAGTAGTGTGCTCATATCACGAGAGTGGAGATGAATTGAGTGGTTTACTAACATGGCCTTATGAACAGAACTCCATCGATTAAGTGAGGAGAGGCTGTGTATTGAGCGAGAAGGCTGATTTTGACAATAAGGTGTGTACACACAAGGCATAAGAACACCGATCGTTAAATCTGACAGTTAAACGGACGAGGCCGACAAATAACCTACACAGGTAGGAAGCTTGGGGGTATATGTCTGTGAACAATGTTTTGGTAGAGAGCAGAGCATTTAATTAATTAGAATGTAGGCAGGTATGTTTCAAAATAATGGACAATTCACTGATAAATCCATGCTTTAAGCGATGCGCATATTTAGGTATGGGTACAGTAACTGAATAAGCATTATACTGACATTATTTTTTTTTTTTTTTGTTTATGCCATATGTTTAACATTATGAGGCTATAGATTTAAATGACGATTATCAGGAGAAATTGCTCCATTAGACTGCTAATTGAGGGTTGCCATATTAATCCAGGTAATTTACAATTTATAAATGCTTACTTTTCACCATGTCTTTAGCGTGGTGGTAGTGGATATACAGAACTGTGATAAAGCGGAATTCACAAACCCCAGCATGTTTCTGTAGAATTCTGCAAAGATCTTCATGATTTTAAAGTCAATAGTGTGTCATCGTAAGAAAAAATGGAGAGATGAATTAAATTATAATTATTAATTACATAACTATACAAAAGACTGTGGATAATCAGACTGTGAAAAGTCCGGAAATTCACAACCCCACTAATGTTATGTAGAATTCTTCAAAGAATCTTCAAGATTTTAAAGTCAATATGGTGTGTCATTCTGTAAAGAAAAAATGTAGAGAAGAATTATATTATTATTATTAATTACATAACTATAAAACAAAAGACGACTGCCTTTTTTTGTGACTTGGCAGTTATAGCCTGAATAATCATGTGATTACCCAAAGCTTTCTAGTCACATTAGAGCTGAATGATAGGAAAATTTTTTAACTGTCATAGGGATGCATATAACAGCTGACAAAAATTCTTTATCAATGATTTATATTACAGAATAACAGTGAATATCGTGGTAACAAGTGATCTGTTTAACAACTTTTCATTATAACATGGTTGCAAAATGTAGAAAAATGTGCAAGCACCATGTTATTTCTTCTGCGACTAGTAAGCCTAGGGTGAGATCAATTGACTATGCGCTTGTGGGTGGGAGCATCAAGACAGTGACTACATACTAAGCAAAAGGGCTAGTGAAGTTCTGAGGCACAGGGGAGAGAGAGTTGGCCCAAGAGTGTGATGCTGTTGCTGGCGCTCCATGTTTCCTTCATGCATTTGTATAGCCCCCCCAAACTGTGGTACAATAGCATACTGTCATGATATCCCTTAGGAGATGGTAAATGCAGGAGGGTGAGGATGTGCAGGTGAGGCAAGTATTCGGAAGAGTGATGGTGTTAAGCATGGGGTGAAGGTTCATAAAACAAGTGATGAGTAGAAAGGAAGTATGGAGGGAGAGTTAGGGTGAGGCAACTATGGGAGATGGGTGAAGGTGTAGGCCTGATGTTAAGGAAGGAGCACTGCACCAGGCCTACAGGCCCATGACAGGCAGGTCCAATGTGCACCCACCCACTCATGCACTTGTCTAACCTATTTTTAAAGCTACACAAGGTTTTTGCCTCAATGACACTACTTGTGAGTATGTTGCACTCAACCACAACTTTATTACCAAATCAGTGCTTTCCTACATACTATTTAACCCTTAAACTATCCAAACGTAGATCTACGCTTTTTCAACATTTGAAAGTATGTAAAAAAACGTAGAGCTTCTTTTTGTTTTTTACATTTGAAAAACATTCTTCGTTAGGTATTTTTAGCAAGTTATTTACATCCTCATTATTTATTCCTGTTTTCCAAATTATTTATTTATTTATTATCACACTGGCCGATTCCCACCAAGGCAGGGAGGCCTGAAAAAGAAAAACTTTCACCATCATTCACTCCATCACTGTCTTGCCAGAAGGGTGCTTTACACTACATTTTAAACTGAGCAACATTTAACACTCCTCCTTCAGATGCAGCCACTGTACTTCCCATCTCTTCCAGACTCAAGTCCGGCCTGCCGGTTTCCCTGAAACCCTTCATAAATGTTTTACTTTGCTCACACTTCCCAAACCGCACTTAAGTTTAAAAACCATTTGTCTCCCATTCACTCTCTATCAAACATGCTCACGCAGCCGCTGAAGTCCAAGCCCCTCGCACACAAAACCTTCTTTACCCCCTCCCTCCAACATATCCTAGGCCGAACCCCCTACCCCTCCTTGCACTTCCTCTCCAGACTGATACACTCTTGAAGTTATGTTCTGTTTCGCTCCATTCTCTCCACATGTCAAAAATAAAAAAAAAAAAATAAAAGGAAAAACTAACCACCTGCAACACCCGTTCCTCATCCCATGTCTGAAAACATTTTTGTGGTAATTCCTGCACCTCATCCGTAACTTCCATACTACGGAAATTCTCTAGCGTTATATTCAGCGACCACACTGTGTGGTGCACTCGCAGACTAGTGACACTGTCTGCGCGACTGGAGCTCGGCATGATCATGCATCCGGAGCGATGCAACGAGGGTTCATACACCCAAGCTTCACCCCAATAAAGAGCGTTGGTAAAACTATACTCTCATACAATCCCCACTTTGCCACCAAGGACAAGTTCTTTTGTCTCCACAACTCCTAATGCACCACTCACCCTTTCCCCTCATCATTTATATTCCCTCATCTTTCACAGTACCCATCCCTGACACTCCACGTCCCAAATACTGAAATACATTCACCTCCTCCATACTCTCTCCCTCCAATCTGATATCAATCTTTTCAATCACCTAATTGCTTTGTTATCCTCATAACCTTACTCTTTTCCTGTATCAACTTTCAAATTTTCCTTCTTTTGCACACCTACCAATTCATCCAACCATAACTCCAATCTCTGCAACTTCTCTTCAGAACCCCAAGACAAAGTGTCATCAGCAAAGAGCAACTGTGACAACTCCCAATTATGAGTGATTCTTTATCTTTTAACTCCACCCTCTTGCCAAGTAACCCACGCATTTACTTCTCTTATCAACCCCATCTATAAATATATTAATAACAACCACGTGACATCACACATCCTTGTCTTGGCCTACTTTTACTGGAAATTAATTTTCCCTCTTTCCTATGTACACTAACTGACCTTCCACTATCCTCGTAAAAACTCTTCACTGCTTTCAGTCAACCGTAAGCCTCCTACACGTTCAATCAGCGCAGCAACAACTGTCCACCTTGCCGCCCCAATTTCCGGTAGCCCTGTCATAGGTGTCTCTTTTCCCAAATTCCATAAATATGCCACAGAAAGACCTCTTAGCCTTATCTAAATACTGTTCACTTATATGTTTCAACTGCAAAACACCTGGTCCCACGCACCCCTACCTTTCCTAAAGCTCTTGTTCATCTGCTATCCTATTCTCTGTCCTTACCGTCTTAGATATCTTTCAATAATAACTCTACCATAGACTTGTTGCCAGTATACTCCAACAGACTTATCCCCCAATAATTTTTGGCATCTTTAGTCCCCTTTGCCTTTGATACAAAGTAACTATGCATGCTCTCTGCCAATCCCTAGTACCTTACCCACTTCATACATTTATTAAATAATTGCACCAACCATCCAAAACTATAATCCCTCCACCTGCTTTTAACATTATCAATCTTTTTATAGCCTCATCAATCCCCGCTGCCTTTGACCCCCTTTTCATTTTAACCTACTGCTACACGAACTTTCCCCACACTCACAACTGGCTCTTCCCTCACTCCTACAAGATGTGTTTCCTCCTTGCCTATACACAAAATCCATATCACAGATTCCTACTCATCAATATTTAACAATTCCTCAAAAATGCCTCCATCTCCCAATCCTCTAACACTCCATTTAATACTCTCCTCTCCATTTTTTAACTGACAAATCCTTTTGTTTCTCTAGCTTTCTTAACTTGTTAATGCTCACATCCAAAACTTTTTCTTATTTTCAACAAAATTTGTTGATAACATCTCACCCACACTCTCCTCTGTTTTCCAAAAAATACACCTCATCATATCCCCCCTAATTCAATGCCTTTAGTGTAGATTCAAATTGCCCGCATCCATCCTCATTGTAACATTTCAGAAGCATGGATCGAATTATCACGTCCTTCTCAATAGTACATTTTGTTCAGCAGATTATATTTTTATCTTTAATACAGTGACCAGACCTTAACCCTGATGAGTGGCGTAGTGATTGCTGAAAAGTTGTGAGGCGTCGTTACGCGCAGATGATTAAACAGAGGATAGAGTGATAACATGGCGAGCACCAGTTATAACTTCATAATATGAAGGCCGAAGAGAATACGTATGTGGGCATGGTGTGTTCGTAGTTTAGGGGTGACGGAGGGGAGCCGTAAATTTACATGAATGCGGTTCATGGGTTGTAGGCGGTTGTGCGGTAGTTAGAGATGTACAGCTACAGGTAGTGGCAGGACTCGTAAATGTGCGAGCCTAGGGATGTACCACACTTGTCAGGAGTGGAGAGATAAGATGAGTGCTAGGACCGAGTGATTGTCGGGCGAGTGAGAATGTAACGGGCGGAGTAGAAGGGCGCTGTAGTCATGTCCAGAGAGCTTGCCTCTAGACGTCAAGTAAGAGTCGCACAGAACCTGTTAGCCGTTACTGTGTAGACTGTGTTCTCGACAGCGTTTCTTTAAGTGAACTACTATCTACATCTGGAAAGTGCCAATTAATCAGTTCCAGACACCCAAAAGTAACTTTTTTTTTTACATAAATAGACATTTCCATTCACGGAAAACAATGAGACATGCACAAATAAACAATACGAAATGACACTTACCTATTATTGTGGACTTAATTTGAGATGATGAGATGGGAGTTAAGGGGGAGTTTGATGTGAGTTTGTACTATTGTAGGGGATGACGAAACAGGAGGGACGAGAGGGTGCGCTTTGAGGTGCGGTAGGTGGGGTTGTACCTCGGGGGGTGTGGAGGGGAAAGAATATCAATTTGTGGGCACATACGAATATGGTAGGTCTGAGGTGCGAAGTGGAGTCTTCAACTTGTGGGGGGGGTTATCAATATCCCCTCCTCTAGCATTTGACCTCTTAAAGGGGGACGAGTATACGGTATAAAGAGAGTTAGCGCTGTAAACTTACCCGAGGTGTACAGGTGGAGCCTTGTGTACCTGGGAGTTGCCTTTTCCTCGCGTGGATGAGTGACTAATATTATACTAGTGTAGCCTTGTTTGGTGGATTGGGTTCATATAGTTGTGTATAGCTTTTTATTTTTGGCTCTGAGTGTAAAGTCAGGCCTTTTTCAGGTTATCTCGAGACGTCGGTGAACACGGCGGAGGTGTTGGGTGAGGTAGATTTTAAATTTTTCATAGCGACTAATTCGAATATGCTACTCTGTTAGGTCCGTAATAAAGAGGCGCAGGTCTCTGTGCTTGTATTGAGTATCAGGAGCGTAAGGGTCTTTTTTGTCAGAAGTCGAGTGCAGCCTCTGGCGCCGTGATCGCGCGAGAGTAGGCGACAGCTGTGAGTATGCCACTAGATTGCGGTGGAAATCCCGACAACGCAAACCTGATTTGCTGGGGCGGCTATAAAATTCATCGTAGACATTAAGCACACAGTTTGCGATGTGTTTGTCTTCATTAATCATGCAACTGCCTTGCCTTTTCACATATTTATTGACTGAGAAATGCTGTCCGCCTGGAATAATTTGTTTCTTTCGTTGATCCACACCAACAACAGATTCTCTACATCTTCGAGTATTTATTGACCATCTCTGCTTTGTAAAGCAACTTGAAGCATACTTGCACCTATCCGCACAACATGCTTCCTTGATTGCCTTTTTGTTGGCCAAATATAGTGAAGGTTTTGAATGGTTTGGTTGTATAACCTGAGGCCACCTGTCAAGACATGCACTCCACTTTCGTAATGTTGCGATTAACTCGCTATCCATTTATTTCCCCCAATTTTAGTATTTCACCTCGACCCTAGTTAATTACCGATATTGTGGCTTATTACAGTTACAACAATAAGAACAACTGGAAAAATACAAAGTACGTACGCATGTAGCGTGAATCGTCCGGACTGGCATGTAAACAATGGCACACCATGTACTGAAGGCAGGGGCAGCTCAGGCTGCTCATGACGGAGGGACAGCGGATCCACAATCAGGGACGAATGCCCTTAACCGAATTCTGTGTGCTTTAAGCCGATCCAATATTTTGATGCAAAAACGGGATGCTTATCCCTATTTTGGCATTAGCCAATGCCACCATTACTCGAGTCCAACTGTATATTAATTTATTTTTACAAGTGCCATGGTTATTCTTCTTGTTCACTCGCTTTGAACTTTGCATTTATCTACAATAAGCAGCATCTTCACTTCTCTGACCACTGCTACCATTCATTCATATCTTTCTGTAGCGTATCTAGCTTCCATCATCAAATTACCAATGGCCGCGTTTTGGTGCACAGGCAAACAGCGATGCTGCTATTTAATCCCTCCCATGTACAACCCAAAAGCAATGAGGTGTACAATTGTCTCATTTATCAACTAACTGGTTTTCTAAACCAATATATACACTATCCTTCATGCCACACCGCATGCTAGAGTCTTGTGTGGAGTGCTTGTTGAGTTGGGGGTCAAGGTTATTGAACGGTGGAATTCGGGAGGGGGGGGGGGGGGAGGTGTTCTCTCCAGTGCGCTCAGTAGAGTAGTTGGGGGTCAAGGATCCTAGCGGGGAGGGAGGAGAATTTGTGGCGTGCCTCATGGGAGATAGCTATGGGTACTTTCCACGGAGGAGTTTGTTCGGTTATCTGCCCTGAGTTGTGTGTAAGGGGGGGGGTAGGCTGTCACGCGTGATAAGTCAGCTTGGGAATTGCTCGCACCTCGATTGGCGCATCACATCATATAAGGCCCGAAGTGTCTCGAGTGCAACGCAGGTAGGCTGTAGATTTTATAGCCTCGATGTGGATGGGACTGAACATACATGTCAAGGCGTAGCCTAGGCGTTGAAATAGTTGTCATTTGAGTGTTGACCACAAATGTGCCGTCGAGGCTTGCACCGTTCTGCACTGCGTGTGGGGTGGAATGAAACTGCGGCAGCGAGCATGCGAATGAGGACAGAGTTCCGGTATATAGAGGTACGGCGAGCATGTGGGCACAAGATTAGCTCGAATTGGAAGCGGGTGCACACCGGGGGGGCCAGGCGATCGTCAGGCGCGCCCCCACGAAGCATAGATGTAGGGACTATGTTACCAGAGACATGAGTCTGGGATGACTGGAGGTACAGGTTCTTAACTAGCAGAGATAATGGGTGCAGGTCATGCTTTTGTAGAATTCTCTCAGCACAATTGCATGCACTAGTTATTTATTATTGATATACATATACAGCTATATGCAGTCAGATGAGAGTGATTGCATGTAATGTAAGTATAATTGTGGGTATTTTTTATAGTGCTTGTGGGATGATGTGTGGTGTAGTGTGGGGTATCCGTGAGAGGCTGTAGCTAGGAGAGACAGGTTCAGTTGACGGGCTTGGGGGTGATGTTGCCAGAGCGAGCTGGCCTTGAGCAGTTCGAAGGATTACACACCACTCGTCCAGGGGAACGTATAAGTAACTACTTGTGTTATCTGACTGGTCAATCTTCATGTACATATCTGTAAAATTGCTTTTCCAGTAGGCTGAGCTTAATTCAATAAGCATTCGATATTGAGTAGTAGTATTCAAAGTTTAAGTTTTATATGAATAGGATACACCTAGCGCGAACAGTATGTAGTACAGGGATTAATTCTTGCTGCCAGGATCCTCTGCTTTCTTTTAGATCGCCTTGTGCTTATCAAATCCGGTTTTTAATTGTTTTGTTCTCCTTTTACATTTACAGCTAAACACAGTAGCCTGCGATTATGCATTGGCACCTGGAGAGTGGCATTCCGCTAAATACGAATGATTTTGGGCAAGCATGTATGAGGCCAAAACATTGCTTAAATGCTACCATCCTTTCAAATACGGCACGCCCCACACAGATTAGTTTGGGGGTGCGTATTCTGCCGTGGTGATGCGACATCTCTCTCCTTAGTCTGGAAACTTGTCCAAAGATTACAAAGTGTATTAAAGTTACTGCGATATTTTGATATGTTACAGGCTGAGTAGAGAATGGACTTTGGGTGGGTGTACCTGGGGTATCTTAAATAGTGTAGGCTATGACCGGCTCTGTAACTAGCATGCAGAGACAGCATTAGGAGAGTGCCGAGGATGAGGCTGTTAATCTCCTATGAGCAAGTTGGAATCGTAGTAGCCAGATTAACTTGAGAGTAGTATAGTAGTAGATAGGGGTAGGATCGCAAGATCAAGCGAGGCAATGGCGCGAGGGAAGAGGAAGGGTCGGGACCGCAAGGCGGCAGGTCCGAGCGGGATATAGTAAAACGGAAAGCCTGTAGATGGTACTTTTTTTATTCAAGGATTGGTAGGGATTGGGCTGGATGTCTTTTTGTCTTATCGAGCATGGAAAGTATGCAAGTATGACATAGGAAGTGGTCCTGGCGAACGTGTGTTAGCGGGTGTGACCGAGGGTGGCATGGAGAGGTCAGCACTACACAGGTACAATTACATATTTGTGTGGGTTAATAGCAGTCGAGATCATCTGAAATTTCTTTGATTTTACGTTGGAGTACGAATAGTTATCAGAGGGTCCTTATGTAACGGTTGTTTACCTTTTATATCATGGGAAGTGGAATAAGAAGTCTATTCCTCCGTAAACCATGCGTGTTTTAAAGTGCGAAGCTAAGAATGCCTATGGAAACAGTTGTGCTAGAGGTCTCGACGGACGCCGAGTTATCCTGTGCTAAGATGTTACGCTAGAGGAGACTGAGCGTACGTCAGAGCGGAAGTGTTGACAAAGTGGGAAACCTGTGAGTAAATGTTCGGTAATGTATGTGCATAGATCGTACTTAAAGATACTGTAAGATTGTATGGTGAAATATGTAGCATTGTAAAGAGAAGTACAAGTCGTGGTGTATAGAGGAGTCCAGGTCTTTATGATGAGTGTCTAAGCATAGAGCAGACTGTGGGGTATTTTGGAGGGAGGAGTAGAGTATCCTTAGAGGTAAGAGAATGTATATTAAATATTTGGGGAATTATGGTCTGGGGGGCGTCCATAATATCTGACACTTAGACGTTGGATTAGGTAATAGCTAATAATGCTGAAGATAATCTATGCTAGGGGCAAAGAGTGGTGGCTTAGGTAAAAGTGGTATGAGAGAAGATGGCAAGGATTATGTGGAGTAAAATAAAGATTGGATGTGAAAAGTGGTTATAATAAGCTGAATGCACCTGGTAGAAGGAGGAGGAAGAGAGAGACGAAGTATGCGTTGAGAGATTTATCTTTGAAATGATTGAGTGAATTGGAGTTGAGTGGCATGTGTGTAATCAAGTGGAGGGATATATAGCGTGGGAGGGTATGGTAGTAGGTTCAATAGGACGTGTACTAGATGTGGGAGAACAATTTGGAGCGAGTGAGGGAGAAGAGTAGTGAGCCGCGTGAGTGTGTTGCCAGGTGTAAATGTAAGCAGAGTTGGGAGTGCCTGTATTAATTAGCATGAATAGGAGTGTAGAAAGAGATTTGGTAATAATTAAGACAGCATATTTATAGTGAGAGAAAGAGATAAGCTAAATATATGCCAGGTATATGGTGAGCATCGTAATGCAAATATGTAGTGTTATATATGATGGTAAAGTTGTTGTAAGGAAGAAGGTAGAGATATGGTAAGCGCTCGGCAGTATGGTACATGATTATAGAGGTCAGACTGTAAGTATTCGTGATCGAGTCGTAACATTTAAGGTTGACGGCATACAGCAGATAAAAGGTATGAGGTGGGAAAATGAGTGAAGTGGCTAACAACAATTAAGAGGGAGAGGTGAAAGTGATATATAACTGCGGGGTAGAGAAGTCTTCGGGTGAGATAACAGCGACTATTGGCAGAAAGGTGGGAGAGAAAAGATGTGTGGTATAGTGGGGTGGGGGGGCTGAAGAGGGTGGAAAAGTTTCTAAAAATGCAGTATTAGAATTTGTGGGGCAGAATTTGTGTTATAGGAGTGGGGCAGGAGGAACTAGGAGTGATTAGGTTAATGAATCATAGTAAAGGGAGTTATAAAAAGAGAAAAAAGGTTAGTCTTATGAGAGGTTTACGCACAAAGACAGAAGGTTATAAGTAAATCAGAGTAATGGAGAGTAAAGAAAGGTGAAGAGTGTGGTGAAAAGTGCAAAAGGAAGCAGATGATAGAGTGGGAGAGGGCGACTGTCAAGAAATTTTAATGAAAATAAGAAAAAAAATTGAGTTAAACAAGTTAAGAAAGCCTAGGGAAAGTATGATTTGTCAGTAAAAACAGAATAGAGGGGAGGTAGGAAATGTGTGAGATTGAGGGAGGGTATTAGTAAGAATAGTGGCGAGAAGATATTTTTATGAGAGTAAGTGCTATCTGTTGAAATTATTAGAAGAAAGAGATGCGGTAATGTTCTTGTGCACTGGTCAGGGAGTATACCATCTTTTTAGAGGAAGGAAGAAGCAAATGTAATTGGCGTAGTGTGGTCAAAACGAGAGCATATAACGTATAAGAAAGGGGTAAAGCAGCAAGAACTGATTTGGATCATGACAGAAAATGTAAAAGCAGGGGGATATAGGGGAAATCTGTTTGAGTGGTTTTACTTTTCTTTGAATAGGATGATGAAAGAGGAATGAACTAAGGATTGGCAGTAGAGCATGTATAGACCCTTTAAATATAAGGGAAAGGGTACAAACGCGATTGAAAAAATTATAGAGGCCAAAGTTAACTGAGTATACCAGGAAGAAGTATACAGGGAAGCGATATAATTGAAAGAATTAGAGGTAAGACCAGAATGTAGAATTGCGGATGAGTCAGGAGGACTTCAGAGTGTGTAGGGTATGTGTAATGCTTCAAAAGATTAACATAGAAGCATAAATGGTGAACAAAAAATTAGATAAAGGAAGGGAATTTTATTGACATTTAATGATTACGAAAAGGCAATATGTTAGAGTGATAGATGGAGCAATGATGGTAGATTGTATTGCAATTTTCTGGAATAGGTGGTAAGTTACTAATGCAGTAAAGAGCTTTTAAGAGGATAGTGAAGTCAGGTTAGAGGTGTGTAGAAGAGAGGGAGAATACTTCCCGTTAAGAAGAGTCTTAGACAGATGTGTACTGGTCACCAAGTTGTTAATAATATATATATAGATGGGGTATGATAAAGAAGAACCTGCAGTAGTTTCGTGAGAGGAGTGGGCGTTAAATATATGGGAACTTTCACATTTCAAATAGTGGCAATTGTACACAGTTACATATTTTGTCTGAATTGATGACTGTGCTAATAAGAGAGAAAACTAAAGACAATGCAAATGATATGTGATGAGTTTTGACGAATGTGTGTAAAGGAAGAAATTGGAAATGTGAACAAGAAAAGAGTAAGGTGAATGCTGTATCAATGATTTTAGATAAAGAAGTAATTGGATATCAAAATTGGAGAGGAGAGTATGGACGAATGAATGTTTCAGAAACTTGAGTATGTGACTTGTTCTGCGGAAGAAATCTGAAGGGAAGAGGTTAGATCCTAGAATTGGCTGAGGAACAAAGGTTAGTGTGGCTTTGAGAATAAGTTGAGGTCAAAAACTATCTATTGAGGCAAAGAAGGGAATGTGGTATGAAGTATAGTGAGTACCAACACACATATTAATGATTTGAAGTCTTATGGGTGGTAAATGCAGCAGCGAGGAGACGGTTAGAGGCAGTGTAGATGTCCTTCCTAAGGGCAATGTGTGTGTAAAATATAGCAGAAATTCGGAGTTGTGGACATTAGAGAAAGGTGTGAGTTTAATAAAAGCATTAGTCAGAGCAGAAGGATGTGGTTGTAGGTTGTTTTGGGTCATAAAGAGAGAATGGATCAAAGATAGAATGACAGGAGGGGGGGGAGAGGTGGAAAGCATAATAAATTCTATAGGGAATGATAGAGGGAAGGGTCGTTCGCTCGAAAGGTTGGAATAGAGGGGTAAGGAGGTTTTGTGGGCGAGTGCATGACATTATCCAAGCAAGCGTGCATGAGCGTGTAAGATATATAGAATGGAGAGTACGAATGATACTAGGTACCTGACTAACAGATGAGATAGTGAGCGGGTAATATTTAGAGAAGGGATTCCGGGAAACCGGATAAATTCTATAATCGACATGATTCCCAGAAATTGGAAGTAAATGCCTTCACTTTAAGGAGGGTTTTGGATAATGCATTTGG